CTGCAGTGGGAAAACTTCTGTCCTCTGGGGAGGTGCTAATCTAGCCTTTGCCTGAGGCGATCTGGCAAATGGCTCTGCGCAGGGCTTGGGCGGGGCGGGCTCAACAGGGCGGGCGGGCGGAGGGAGCGGTTATGGTGCCCTCAGTCCCGTTCCCAGAGGCTCTGCTTCTCAGAACCCCAGGAACCGCTGCAAACCTCGGAGGGAAAGCTGCCTTCCAACTGATGCCAGACACTCCCACTTCTCCCGTTTGAGTCCCCAGCGATTCGCCCGTATCTGGAGCTCAGAGTCTGAGACTCCCCCCTGACCGAAAACGACAACCGCGCTCTCAGCCACCAGCCCGCTTTGCGCGCGCACCTCCGCACCTGAGTATTTTCCACACTGCGCCTCCTCTGAGCCTCGGTATGCTGTTGTTTTTCCTTCCAGTTGAAGAGTCTCTCCTCAGCCAGCCTTCCTGTGGTTCTGAGTGATGTCAGTTCCGTCTTTTAGTTGTATTTTTGAAGTGGTTGTTTGCGGCAGCAGTCTCCGGTGTTTACCTATGCCGCCATCTTGCTCCTCAATCTCTACTAGCTTTTATATATTAATTCCTCTTAATATTTTCTGATGATCATATGATTGCTTACTCTTTTAATTTTCCCGGTATTAATTTCTTAATAAACTATGATAATATTTGTTTATGTTAATTATCTCCCTTTTACAGAGAGCAGTGTAATTCAAATTGGTTAAAGCTCTATGTATTGTTTCACATTTTAATGATTCTAGGTCATTTCTACTATAGTGTCATTTTGTAAAAGGTGCTTATGAAAAATTACTTGGAAAATGCAATACTCTCTAAAAGTGACACTTTATATTTAATCTTACATTAACACAGTAGGCATAAAATTTTGCTCTCACATCTCCACACGGGCATAGTTATACAATGAGAGGCTACTGGTGCATTCACATAGTAGAGGAAACAGCCCTCTGAATCTGCTGCCATTTTTAGAAATTCCATCAAATCATGGCCAAATCCCTCACCATCTCTAAATAGCATATTCCCTTTTTTTCATTGTTTAGGTTTATATCTGGCAAATCATACTGTTGTCCAAGGAGAATAAGAGCCTGTTAATCTCTGACTGGCTCAGCCTCAATCTAGGTTCCTAGTAAGATGTGTTTGGCCCACATGTAGCTGAAGGTGATTGGTGGGGACTCATTAAGACTAAGTTTTGCTGTTACGTGTTCACAGTGTCAGAGTCATACTTGAGCCTGGGAAATAAGCCCCCCAAAGTAGCTTTAAAACTTCTTGCCCCCCAAACTTCCGTAAAAACTTCTCTCTAAAGAATTCTGTACTGTATTTCTCTTCTAAAAATATGAATCTTTCAACCAGGCTCCTGGTGACAGATGGGTTTCCTTTAAGCCAAGGTTTTTTTTGTTTGTTTTGTTTTGTGTGTGTGTGTGTGTGGGGGGGCAGTTTTTTTTTTTTTTTTTACTTTAAACAAAAGCTAGTGATGACTTCCACGTGAAAACAAATAGCCATAGTTTCAGCCTTGAAAAAAAATGAGTCAGTAATAAACAAATAAAACAATATATACAAATAGGTAAGAAAGTAAAAGAGGTTTGTGAAAAGATTAATAGAAGTGTTTCTGCTTTGACTGCTCTAACTCTGTTTCTCCCATTGTCAGGACTCTGAGTCCTGACCAAGGTCACAAGTTTGCTGCCCAGGAGTTTGTGTCCAAGAAAGGAAGGAATCAAATATTTTCTTCTTAAGATGCTAAGCTAACAAATTTATGGATTCCTGGGGACATTTGTTTTTGTCTTCTTTCACACCACATATAGTTTTGTAGCTATATGTGAAATATGTCAATATGAGCTTGATCTTTTATCTGTTTTAGAGTTATCATCCTTTAAAGTCTCCCCCCCCATAGTCTCCTCACATAATTTAATAGTAAACTCAAATTATCAGAAATGTAGCAGCTTAGTGGCCTTTGTTTTAATGAAATACATATAGTTCCTCAGGACCTATGAAATCCATCTTATTTACTATTTCTTGAAAGAAGTTTAGGTAATATTAAAATCATAAAGAACTTGGTTAATTAGAACCAACTTTTTTTATACAAGTCATTTCTCCTGCTCAATAATTTTTGTTCTTATAATACATTTGTAAACATTCTCTAGGCTATCAACCATGAGCACTTTATGGGTCAATCTTCAGCCACTTTCTCATCTCAATTTGAATTTCCTTTTAACTTAGTATAATTCTGAGGCACTTTTTTTTCTTAAAGTAGGTACATAAAAAATTAAAACATTTAAAAATGAGCTGATGTTATTAAAAGGAAAATTTGTAGAAATCTGTATATACAACATATTCCAGCTGTTGGGATGGTTATTAATTAATCTTCCTCCTTTTTTCACAAAGCTTCATAGAATAACTTCAAGCTATATAATTTCCATGGAATTTAATGAAATAAAGCATTTCGCCACATGAGGTAGTAATTATTTGTAAGAAAAATATAAAGTTAAATAAAAGTGAAAAGCCATTAAATTTTTTACTCTATTAAATAAGGAGCACTTTTATAGACATCCTCGGCCTCTGAAGTCATGTCTAATTTTGACCTCTCCTTTGGAGAACTGATACATCTAATTCCAGATTGGATAAATCAAAGGCATTTATTCAAATCTTAAACTGTCCTGGAGGGTGTCAAATTGAGTTTTATCCAGTAGTATCTTGAATGCATTGGAATGGCAAAGGTTACTGAGGAGTTTACACTGAATTTAACTCTTTTGAACCATAAACATTTTCATGTATCTTTTGAAAAGGCATATGAATTTTGGTTGCTCCAGAATGTTTTGAGTTATATTTTGTTTGAATAACATTAAAGACAAAAAGAAAGTCCAAGTTGTAGTAAAAATTTAATTTTGTATTTTTTTTTTTTACTTCTTTGTTACTGAAATTTTCATGATCTTCATAAAATATGGTAAGAATTACAGTTGGACTAAGAAAAGAGCTAGAACAACTAATTTGTGTATTTTTAAATGCCAACAAGTTTATTAAAAATAAAAGAAATTAGCATATCAGCTTCAAATCCTATATAATAAAATGCTAATATGCAAATTGTCCCCTCAACCATGAGTTCTACAAGGAGTTCAAACAGGAGTTTGACCAGGGGGAAGGGCTGGCTGGCCAACCTTCCACGTCCCCTCCCCCCAGCAGGCCTGGCCCGATCAGCCCCAATGGGGGCAGGCCGGCTGGACCCCACCTGGGCACGAATTCATGCAACAGGCCTCTAGTATATTTATAATATTAGAGAAAACCAAGGTTAATACCATTACCAACTTTGTATGTATTTAAGCAAATTAATTTTAGGAATAATTGTATAGTTATTTCAGAAATATATACTCAGCATATATGTTATAGTGACATATGGAAATAAATGGCTTTGAAGAACTTTTCAAGAACAACCTAATTTGATGTTTGAAAGGAAAATTGGAAAGGAGATAGCCATAATGATAAATTGACTTTTTTTATAACTCTAATCTCTAGACCAACATTAATCTCCCTTTTCGTAAAATTTTTTTAATTGCCAAACTTAGAGCAAAGTATTTTTTTCATTTCCCTACTTGATCATTATATTACTCATAGATGTTTTTCAATTTCCAAAGAAAAGTGATTAAAAAAATATATGGGATAGTTAAACATTAATAAATAGAGAAATTTTATGTCTAATGTTAAAACATGAGTAGACAGATCCAGGAAACTTAAAAATTACCAGTTGATGCTTTTTTAAACTGGTCTAGATGAAACCAGGCTAAAATATTCTGTTTTATATGGAGAAAAATTTCACAGTCGGGTCCACCATGTCAACTTGCTCCTGTACGTTAAGTGTGATAGTAATAATGATACATTTAATATTTATCCCACTCAATTATTATAAAAATGTACGTGACAAAATATCCGGGTAATATGAATGCAAATGAACATTCAGAAGGATGATAGTTTGAGAGATTTTATTAATTTGTATTTATTTTTATCAATAGCTCACAGTACTATGAATGACACCAATGTCCCTATGGAAACAACTGAATGCATTCAAGGTCAAGGAGAAGGTTATCGGGGAACCGTCAATACCATTTGGAATGGAATTCCATGTCAGCGATGGGATTCCCAGTATCCTCACCAGCATGACATAACTCCTGAAAATTTCAAGTGCAAGTGAGTAAATTAGGCAAATATTATAAATGTGCAGTAAGCTCTGGGAAAATGAGGTAGGGTGGTTACTTTTCACTAATTTCTGTGTTAGTGATCCTTAAACTTTAGTGTGCTAGGGATAATCAAAAGGCAGATTAATCTACTCAGAGATTTTGATTCCTTAGGTCAAATATGCATTTTTTAACAAGAATTCTAGGTACTTTCGAATCAGATGGTTTATGTACCATGCTTTGGGAAGCACATATACAGGTTTCTAATCACAGCTTTGTTATTTGCTTTTCTTTTTCTGGTTAATCTTCACCCAAGGATATTTTTCTATTAATTTTTAGGGAGAGTGGAAGAGAGAGGGAAAGACAGAGAACCATCGATGTCAGAAAAACACTATGATTGGTTGCCTCCTGCACAAGCTCTGACCAGGGCCCTGGGCCCGGGAGGAGCCTGCAACCAAGGTGCATGCCCTTGACCATAATCAAACCTGGGACCCTGTGGTCCACAAGCCGACGCTCTATCCACTGAGCCAAACTGGCTAGGGCTATAGCTTTGTTCCTACAGGTCTAACAAACCAATAAATGGTAATAGTAACCAGTCAAATTTTAAACCAGTGCCTTTCATATTAACTTTAGGTGAGATTACATACTTTTTCTTCTGCAAAAAGAGGAATATCTTATTTTCAGCTAATATTGTAAACTGATGAATATTAGGCCTTGAAACAAACTTTTTTTTAAATGTTAAATGAATATTCTCTATTGTTTCTAGGTTTGCTTTTTAAAAATGGGGATGTAAAACATTTGTTTAGGTGAATTAAGCCAAAGAAACTTCCCTTAAATGTCAGTTACTTGGTTGTATGTGCCTCCTCTGTGGCTGCTTTTTTTCACCACTTGACTTGTTGGACAGACACAGCCACAATGCCATGTGTTTTTAAATTGTCCACCTTGTTATGGGGAACATAAAATGATTGCTTTTGAAATTTATAACACACGTGTCATTCATAGTGCCTTGCTGAAATAGCACCTATAAATAACATATATTGGCTTTATGTAATTGGATTTTAATAAGAGAGCTTAACATTTCAAGATGGAGAATTTTGAGCACTAGTCAGCCAATCCAGTGGAGAAGGGAGATAGTTTATGTTTTTCTTTTTAAGTTAATTTAATGTATTTACTTAGATAATAAATATTCATCGCTTATGAGTTTTTTCATTATTTTATAATAACACATTTATAGTTGTTATTCTGGGTTTATTTTCCATCATTTTTTTCACAGCAGTATACTTTTTATTCCTGACCTATATGTTTCACACCTCGGAAATAAATATCAAAGTAAAGAAAGCAAAGAAAATGAGAAAAGATTAGTTAAGAGAGATAGAGAAGACACTGTCAGTGCCATTCACACTTTCTATTAACTTCTAAGACTGGTAATATTCAAGTAAGAAATCATGTATGTGTGAATGAATACCCAATTAAATTTATTTGTCAGAAAAAAATAATGTAATTCACATATTTCACAATTAAAAATTATCAAAAGTTTAGTTGTTATTTGTTATCAGAATTTAGGTTATCCTTTCTTAATTTATTTATTTGGTCAAGATTACCAAACCCACATACAAAAAAAAAATAGTGAGTTTTGTTATAAAACAGGTAAAATCTGACTCAACATTTTTCTCAGAATGTTGATGCATTTATTTGTGGCCTAGCAGAGAACAGTGTGCTAGTCAGGTGTCTCTGGTTGCATAAACACCATTTGCTGCAATATGAGACTCCTGACAAATGACAATTTTAAAACTATAACTCAACCATAGTGCCTGTGATGAATCTACATGAATCAGATAATAATTAATTTGCTTTAGAAATTGTAAACAATTCTTTCTTCAAGTGAAGGGAAAGATCATAGAAAAAACATTTGGGCATGCCTTGACTCTCATGCTTGCTTAATCTAGATTAATGAGGTGCTTATAGATATCGATTTGTGTGTGTTAAATAATTTTTTTATTTTTTAATTAAATTAATTGGGGGGACATCGGTTAATAGGATAATATAGGTTTCCAGTGAACAAACACCTCTCCCAAGAAGACATACAAATGGCCAACAGATATACGAAAAGATGTTCAACCTCACTGGCAAATATAGGTTTTTAAAGTGGGCCTAAACTAAGACTTTTGTTAGCCTTAGAACTCTAATGATCTCGCCCTAAATTAATTTAACTAAGCAATTATTCATCTAAAATTACAAAATGGTATAAATTTTATGTAAACTTTAATGCACATATTTTGTACTGACATACATTTTTGAAACATTAGTATAAATTGTTTGAAAGAAATAACAGATTTTCTTTACCTTTCCAGTTAATAATTTTATCATTTTATAAGAAGGATAAAGGCTTGAATAGGGGTTATAACTATGAAAACTTGTTGTTCTATGGCCTTAATTATTGGCAATCACTGTTATTATAACCTTAAATAACAAAGTTTGTGTCAGGACCTATTTTTACTATATAAATTATTATTGATTTTATAATCAAACCCAAGCCTCTTCCTTAAGAACTTCTCAGTTTCTAATGGTTAATTTTGGTATCAATAAAATTATAGTTCTTTTTAAAATATGTGTTTTTATTGATTTTAGAGAGAGAGGAAGGGAGAGGAAGAGAGAAAAACATAAATGTGAGAGAGAAAACTTGATTGGTTGCCTCCTGCATGTGCCCCAAACGGGGAAAGAACCCTCAACTTGGTACATACCCTGACTGGGAATGGAACTGGTGACCCTTCAGTGCACAGGACAACGCTCAACCAACTGAGCCACACCAGCCAGGGCAGTGCTTCTAATTGGACCTGAGTGATGTAAATAATGTGGTTTTAATAGATTGAATATTAATTTTGTTAAATTATTATTCACAGATCTAAAAAAAGACAGTGCAAGCTTGCTTTAAATTAGAGAGCATGTTTAGGAAAGCAAGTCTTAAATTCAGTATTTCATTTGAAGTGAATTTTATATTAAGTTTCGCATTAAAATACTTTTATACACAGAGAATATTTGTATAGAATTTTTCCTTACTGAGAACTCTAAATACTTAATAAATTACTGGTAAAATAAAGGATGTATATATATACTACATTGATGACTTCTATATTAGGTTTCTATGTTATAATTATGTCTTTATTTTACAAAAATATTTATAAAGATTTAGGTAACATCTCTAAGTCAAGAAATAAGTAATGTGCAATTAAAATTAATATATGTAGCAAGTTAAATGAATCAAGAAAAGACAGAATTCAAAAAAGAAATAGGTATGATGTTTTTGTGTGGCAAATGTTTGATTAGGCAAAACTTTCATTTTAAGTGAGAGTAATTAATGACTATTAATAATAGCCTTTATTCTACAGAGAGATGCATGTTGTTTCTACATTATATATGAGCCATAAAGACAATAAATAAGAGTTTAGTTTTAAAATGTGTAGCAGTTGAGAGTCCTAGACTGACAATAAGTGAGAAGAATGTAGTGAGTGGTACCAGTTCTCTCTTTTGTGAAGCAGGAGTGTTTGTCTGAAACTCCAGGCTGGTGGGAGGAAAAGAATACTGACATCTGTCAGCACGTTTTTCAGTAATGGGGCAGTGTCCGTTGCATATATTGAATTCTAAATTGTTCTAACTATCCTAAAACTAAAACTTAGAACTCTAATTATTGACGTGCACACATTCTGGGGTGTCTAGAGGTATAGTAGTGCTGATTCCATCAACGTAAGAACTCGGGCAATTTACATTAACATGCTTATTCTCAATAGGGACCTAAGAGAAAATTATTGCCGAAATCCAGATGGGGCTGAGTCACCCTGGTGTTTTACCACTGATCCAAACATCCGAGTTGGCTACTGCTCCCAAATTCCAAAATGTGACGTGTCGAGAGGACAAGGTAATAGTTGACATTTTGCAATATGGGCATGATTAAATTCAGGGGAACTGCCTAAAGGGAGCTCACAATTTACAGCAGAAAGCCTACTTCTCATTGCACTGCTTTTGTTGAAAAGCAAAGTCCCCAAGTCTAATTTCTTTTTCACATTCATTTGTTCAACGTTTATTTACTTATTGCCTGTATACCAGTGCCAGACACAGTTCTAGGCACTGGAGATATACCAGGAAACAAAACAAAATTCTTTAACCCCCTTGAAACTAAATTCTGGTAAATAGAAAACAAGCAAAGTAAACACGAGTTTGGGATAGTAAGTTAGTTTGTGGTAGTGCTAGAGAGAAAAGTGTTGCAGTTAGAAGAGAGGGGTTTTGCTACTTTATATTTTAACTTGAGGCCCAGTGCACAAATCTGTGCATGGGTGGAGTCCCTCGGCCTGGCTGGCGATCGGGGCCCATCAGGGCAGGCCAGGGATAGGGACTGTGGGAGGTTGACCGGCTATGGGAGGGCACTGACCACCAGAGGGCAGCTCCTGCATTGAGCGTCTGCTCCCTGGTGGTCAGTGCGCATCATAGTGACCATTTGACCGGTCATGTGGTCGATAGGTCCTAACAGTCGCTTAGGCTTTTATATATATAGAATTGTTTGGGAAGATCGTACATATTAAGAAGACCAGAAAGACGTCAGGGAGCACATGTGCCATATGCATCTGTTTATAAAGGGCATTCTAGATAGAAAAAATCTACAATTGAAAAGAGATGGAAGAGTGCTTGAAAAGTTTAAAGAAACAGCACATCATTGTGGCTGGCAGAGACTGAGCAAGATAGAGAGTCTCAGGAGATGAGGTTATAGAGCAGCGGTTCTCAACCTGTGGGTCGCGACCCCTTTGGCGGTCGAACGACCCTTTCACAGGGGTCGCCTAAGACCATCCTGCATATCAGATATTTACATTATGATTCATAACAGTAGCAACATTACAGTTATGAAGTAGCAACGAAAATAATTTTATGGTTGGGTCACAACATGAGGAACTGTATTTTAAAGGGCCAGAAGGTTGAGAACCACTGTTATAGAGCAATTGGCTAAAATCACATAGGCCTTGTAGGAGTTGGAAGGATTTACACTTTTATTCTGAAAAGGAAGGAACTCTGTTGTAGGGTTCTGAGAAGAGAAATTAAATGACCTGTCTGACTTAAAATTTTAACTGGATGATCCTGGCTGCATTATGGAAAATAGCCAGAACTTCTGACAAGGACCCAAACAGGGTAATCAGTTGAGTGATTGTTTCAGTAATTTAGGAGATGAGAGTTATGGGGACCTGGGTGTTAGCAGGGGAGATGGTATGTAACAATGGGGTTTGAGATAAATCACCATTGTACTTGAAAAAATAGATGCCATTGAAGGTAATTGTTTCAGGAGCAGTAGTAGAGAAAAGTCAGATTGAAATAGATTTTAAAAAGATATTATTTGTCAAAGATTAATAATGTTAGGTTATGGACATGTATTAGTATATAGTAAATTGAGAGCTCTAATTTTTGAATAATTATTTTTTTCACATAAATTTAATTATGATGGCTATGGTCAGTCCTAAATCATCCTAAAAAGTCCAAGCCAGATTTAAAGCTTCATTTCATAGATTTATTGTCCTATACATACTCATCTATCCTTTAACCCCTTTCTCAATGACATTTTTCACGAACAACTCTGAACACAGTTGCAGAGAGAAGAGGGGATGAGTCCCTTTTCAGTCAATTTCACTGTTCTTTGGCAGATTTTAAAGGTCATTTGGAAATAAAGTTAAAACCAATGATTAAGGGAGTCTTGGTATCAGCTGGATGTTTCATTCCTATCTTGTTCATTAAAGCTATTACTGATAATTTGTGATCATAGAGGCAAAAAAGAGCAATTGCTTGATAAGCTTCTGGTATATATGAAGACACTTTTGTGTACAGTACATATATATTACTTACTAAAAGATCAGGTAATATAAAATGAGAGTTTTGTATTTTAGAAGTTAAGTAGATGTTATTGCTTATCTAGTATGTGCACAAATTAATAGACAAAGAAATTAGTTTTATAGAATTTAAATAACTTACCTAAATACTCAGATTAGCACAGCTGTGACTGACTATAACCCTCCTTAAAATGATCTTTCCATTATTCCATGCTTTATCTTTTTTATTAATACTTTAACATTTATTGCATTGTTTTTCTTTAATAATGTATTATACTGATACATTACAACGAAGTGCAGGCTCTGTGGGGCAATTTAAAAATGAAGTCCTACTTAATAGACAATTCAACATACAGCTGTGAAATTTTAACATTGTTATGCTATCGTTTGATAGTGCCAAGCTAATGGCGCGCACACACACACACACACACACACACACACACACACACACAAGAATGTTGCTGTTATCCTCTCCATATACCAGAAAATATAAATTTCACATATAGATTGATAAGTTAGAAATTTCTTCTCAAATCTTGCAACACCTGAATTAGCTTATGTATAAATGCTCTTCTAATTGGATATTAAATAACTTTGTTTAAAAAATAAAATCTTAAATTACAGACTTTCTTTATAAATGTTGATAAAACACAATTTATTAGATTATGTGAGATACACTTAAGAGAATTCATAAGTCCACATTTATATCACTCCTTCTACCACTAACAGTAGTATTGCTACCACTACCATTGCTATTACTGGCAGTAATAATACCTAAATGGAAGGAGCAGGGGAGAAGGAAATATTCATTTACAAGAAAATGACGACTAATAAAGAAGTGTGGGAAATAAAAAATAACCATTGTAAAACCAGCATAGTACTAATTCATGCAAAATTAACCAAAGTATGCCTAAGCCATTAAGTGACTATTACTTGGCAGTATGTTTACTCAGTCTCAAAGGCCTCAACATTTTTTTGTTTTTGTTGTTATATAAAAAGAAGTTTTTCTTTTATACCACTTAATGAAGATATCAAACTCACCAGTAATAATGATAAAAGCTCTGAAAAGAACAAAATATCATCTATTCAATATTCCTGTGTTTAAATTGATTTTATTCATGAGCAAATAAAAAGATAAAATTAAAGAGCATTTGCAAAATACTTGGCTTGGCCTGGTTGATGTGGCTAAATGGTTGGGCATAGACCCCAGAACCAAGAGGTCATTGGTTCTATTCCTGGTTTGATTCCCAATCAGGGCACATACCTGGGTTGTGGGTTTTAGGCTCAATCCCTAGTAGGGGGTGTGCAGGTGGCAGTGCTCGCTAACATATGGGGATGTTTCTCTCATCTATCTCTCTATACCTCGTCCTTCCTCTCTCTAAAAATCATTTTTTTTTAAAAACCCAACATATTAAAAAAAAACAAAACACAGCTGGCTTGGGTGACTCAAAATCCCAATCACATGAAAGATAAAATTAAAACACAACAAATGTGATGAGTATATGAGTGTTCATTATGTCATTCTTTTCTGAAGAAAATGTTGGGAAATATATATGTCATTCTAAAAATTCCCACTTTAAGTGTCCTTAAAAGCCACCTGTTTAATTTTTTTTAAAACGTGCAATTTACTGCATAAAATCTCATTTTAATGAAAAAGAAATTTGGCTGAAAATAAATAATTTGTACAGATTTTAGAGTGATTTAATTTTTATGTTGACTTTTGTGAATTTATATGTTATGTTTTTGTTCTATGTGTGTTCCCTAGTATTCACTAGTTTTTTTTTTCCATATATTTATTTATGTTTAGATTGTTATCGTGGAAATGGCAAAAATTATATGGGCAATTTATCCAAAACACGATCTGGACTAACATGCTCAATGTGGGACAAGAACATGGAAGATTTACACCGGTGTGTAAATTTCTTTCTTACAATATATAGTATCCTATATAATAAAGAGGTAATATGCAAATTGACCATCGCACCCTCGCACAAGATGGCCACCTCATGTGGTCAAAGATGGCCACCACAAGATGGCTGGCAGGGGAGGGCAGTTGGGAGTGACTGGGCCTGCAGTAGAGGGCAGTTGGGGGGGGACCAGGCCTGCAGGAGAGGGCAGTTGGGGGTGATCAGGACAGCAGGGGAGCAGTTAGGCGTCGATCAGGCTGGCAGGGAAGTGGTTAGGGCGTGATCAGGCTGGCAGGCAGAAGCAGTTAGGGACAATCAGGCAGGCAGGCAGGTGAGGGGTTGGGAGCTAGCAGTCCTAGATTATGAGAGAGATGTCCAACTGCCAGTTTAGGCCCGATCCCTGACTGCGGTTGTGTGGGGTCAGGCCTAAACCTGCAGTTGGACATCCCCTGAGGGGTCCCAGATTGGAGAGGGTGAAGGCTGGACTGAGGGACACTCCCTCACCTCCCCTGTGCACGAATTTTGTGCACCAGGCCTCTAGTATAGTGATAACAGTAATAGGTATATGCAGGTATGCACATTGATATTTCTTTCCATTATTTATATATCATCATAAGCTAACAAAAACATTAGATTGATTATTCATGCAACTCAATTTAATATTTTATCTCTAAGTGGCAAACTTTTAAATAAGACATTCAAACCAGTACATATTTATTGAGCACTTACTGTATGTTCTGCTTTGTGATAGGTGCCATGGGGAACATTAACAAAAACTGGGTATACATTTTGACTCCATCTTTATGGAGGATATGGTCATATTGAGAAAATAATTTACATTACTTAATAAAACAAGGCATAATTAAGTGATAAATTTTATGTTTCATGTAGTACATTATATTATTGTTCTCATAATTAATTGTTAGTATTCATAAAAATTGAGTAAGTTACCATTTTCATGTACATACATACCTTAATATCCAATTAACTCCTAAAAACTTAGAAAGACATGTTCCTTATATAACCTTATTTTGACATATAAAATGTTTCTAAAATAAAAGGAATGTAATTGGAAAAAATTCTATATAGTTCAAAGAAGTAGAGATTTTGACATTGGACATATTCACAGAAAAATAAGTTATCTTCCACTCAAACCTAGAAATAGTGTTAGTGTGTTTGAAATTACAAAAGAAAAGCCATAGTTGTGACATAAAATATCCCAGAATATATGCATAGTTACATTATATGAGTTATCACACTTGACCATTCTATATGCGTGAATAAGAATTTTAGGACTCAGAGAAATTGAGTCATTTTGCCTCCAGCCGCACTTTAACTTTAAAGCTTTTATTCTCTTCCAAAATGTACTCACTAGTAGATGATAATGTTTCAATTAATTTACTTCATAAATAGTGATAATTCTAAGGTAGTGCTCTCTAACATAAATATGCATTTCACATATGTAAGCTGCATATGTACTTTTAAGTTTTCTAATAGACACATTGAAAGAAGTAAAAATAAACAGGCAGGATTGTTTTTGTAAATACAGATTCATTATAAATCAAATATATCTAAAGCTTTTTCATTTAATATGTATTCAATATAAAATTATTAATGAGATCTTTTACATTTTTATACTAAAATGTAAAACCTTCAAGATCTGGCATATATTTACAATTATAGCACCATTCAATTTGGATTAGCCACATATCAATTTCTCAGTAGCCATATGTAGCTAATAGCCACTGTATTGGGCACAGTAGCTCGAGGACTTCAAGCATAACTAGATTTCTGTCCTCATAGATCTTACATTCTAGTATGTAATGCCAGAAAACAGAAAATGCCAATATCATATTGTAAAAATTATGAAAATAGCACATTTTATGCGGTGGGAATGCAAAGAAGTGCCACTCAAACCTTTGATCGTCAGGAAGACTTCTAGAGGAAGGGACATTAGCTGTGACATGAGATAAGTAGGAATTGGTGAAAGGAAATGTGGGAGAAAGAGTGCATTAGGCAGAAGGTATAGTTTGTTCAAAAGCCTAAAGATTGAATTGTTCGAAAATCAGAAATAATTTTGGAAGTTTGAAACAATGTAATTTGGCCACTGTCCACAGCCAAAGAATTCCCCAGTGGCAAGACTATATAGAGCCCTGGAAGCTGTTTAAAGAAGTTTGGATTTTATCCTGAGTATTAAAGGGATTCATTAACGAATTTTAGGCAGGAATCAGCATGATTAAAATTAAATGCTAATTTGAACACTGCTATTTTAAAACTCATTTTTAGAAATACAAAGGGGTAAATCTAGCTCTTATGGACAGACCTGTGAGAGACAATTGTACTAACTCTGCCTTTACTGATTTCTCATTAGAAGGTCAATGTTTTTATGATGGAAGTATTTACACCACAAAAATCAGCAGGGACAACCTATAAAGACTCCCTTCCTACACACTTCAGAGTTCCAGTTGTTAAATATTTAGCAGCATATTACTGGAAAGATATGACATTTACTTAGGTATTGCAATGGTTATAACTATTAATTTACTAAGCTTAAGATTACTTTTGGAAATAGTTAAAAGTCACTTGGAAATAATTTGTAGGAAATTGATGAATGATTAAGTTACATGGTGACACTTAGGTTATATATGTAAATCACATAGAATCTGGAACATAGTATTAAGTGTTTGCTGTTGTTATTGCTCCAGAAAATAAACTCGAGTTTGAAAAGATGATCTAAGTTTCCATGTCCAAAGCTCTTCCCAATTTTTAAAATTACATATTAATTACAGTTAAGTTAGTAGTAATAAATAATCCAAAACAAATCCAGTTAGATGTATAGTTTTCATGATTTGGTTAGGATGGCCATGTGGAATTTGACTTCACTAATATTACTGAGGTAAATATAAATATCAATCTATAATAATAAAAGCATAATATGCAAATTGACCGAACAGCAGAACAACCACTGTTATTATTAAGGTCCACAATTTACTATGTGTATACATTTTTAAAATTTAAATATTTAGTAAGGTACAATAATGATATTGTACCTTATGTACAGTATATATATATATACTGTATATAAGCAGGTATGGTCTTATATACAATATTTTTGCTTTTCTTTTGTAACAAATTTAGTGAAGATGTAAAATATGAAAGGCCAAAGTGTTACTCAGTTATCTGTCAAGAAATCACATTTTGTAACTCTATGAGCAATGATATTTTGTAACTTAACTATTTTATTAGTACATTATTATTAATTTTTCAATGTTTCTTCTTGTATTTTGGCAAAGTTATTTTGCAAGAGATGCTTCATATGTCACTGAAACAAAAAAGTATTTTGCAATGGATTATGTTTTCTAGTTATTTTATCATATTGATGTTCTTTGTCATCTGCTTTTTTCTTTTTCTTTTTTTTTTTTTTTGCTTGTGTTTCTCCATTTCCATGCACAGGTATATTGTTGCCTTACCATTGCAATTATTAAATAGAAATAAAGTCATAAAATCTTTCATCATTTAACTATGCTAATTATTCAGCCCTATTCCATATTCCTGAGCTAGAGAACATGCTTCCAAACTGTAGAAACAAAATAAATATCAAACAAAATAATCAAAATTCATATCAGTTGAAGCTTGTGCCATATCGCTAATGAAAGTTATGTGCTCGGGTTTTATCTTCTTGGTGACATTTTGGTTTTTTTTTGGACAAAATGAGCATCTTGTGATGTTCAGAGTATTTTGTTTATGCAGGCATATCTTCTGGGAACCAGATGCTAGCAAGCTAAATAAGAATTACTGTCGGAGGACAAAATGAGCATCTTGTGATGTTCAGAGCATTTTGTTTATGCAGGCATATCTTCTGGGAACCAGATGCTAGCAAGCTGAATAAGAATTACTGTCGGAATCCTGATGATGATGCCCATGGTCCCTGGTGTTACACGGGAAATCCTCTCATTCCTTGGGATTACTGCCCTATTTCTCGTTGTAAGTATATTGAATGATCTTTTTCAGGTGAAGTATTTTAAATATAACTGCTCTTCTCTAAATTGATTTTAGAGAGGAAAGGAGAGGGAGAGAGAAATAGAACAATCAAATGATGAGAGAGAATCATTGATTGGCTGCCTCCTACTTAGGATTGGGCATGCAACTCAACCAGGAATCGAACCGTGACCTCCTAGTTCCTAGGTCGATGTTCAACCACTGAGCCTTGCCAACCAGGTCATTCTGCTGACCTTTTAAAAGAAGACCTTCCTTCCTCAGAAGATTCTCAAATTGAATCCAGAAACAATCATTGGTCATGGCTCTAACATGACTGCTCTAGGAAGAACTCCCTATTCTCATCACCAGTACTATCTGTTCAGCCTTTGAATGTAGCAGAGCTTTCAGCAAAGGCCCTCAACCCACTAACCATCCCAAGAAGAGAGCTGAGGTAGTGGTGCTTCTATCTTCTCAGTTATTTAGCCCAAGACTAAGAAGTATGGAGCATTCCATCCACTCTTTGAGCCCAAGAGAATTTTGTTAAAAGAGTATTAGTGCATAAAGTAAAAGATATATGTAAAATATATGTGTGATATACTTCACATAAAAGAGCACCTATATATCAATAAGAAAAAGATAACTTAGGAGAAAAATAAAGAAAACAAATCCTCAAAAATAAATATAATTGATAAACAAATATTAAAACTTAATTGTAAGAAAAATGAAATTATAAAAGCATAATAAATAATTTCCACCTATCAGGTTGGCAAATAATAAAATGATTGTTAATGCCCAATAATATTGAGAGCCTAGGTGATCAACTCTCTCAATTCTGCATTACTTTGTGAATGGGAAAGCTTATCTGGGAGTAGTATGGAGAAATTTTGTAACCTCAATACTAGCAACACTGTGTGCTAGATAATTCTTGTTGTGGGAGGCTGTCTTGTGCATTATAAGATGCTTAATAGCCTCTACCCACTACATGCCAATAGTACTACCAATACATCCAGTCATGACAATCAAAAATATTTCCAGACATTGCCTAATGTCCCCTTGGTGGTGATGGTCGGGGAGCATTGGAAAATACCCCCATTGAGAACAACTTATATGGAAATATATCCTCAATATATTATTGAATGAAAAAGTCTTATTATAAAACTGTACAGTAGCAAGAGACCATTGTACTATACTACGTATCTCACAGCTCCATGTTTATAGCAAACATCTTTAAACACTGTTAAACTACCTTCTTACTTAAAAAAGGATATACTTTGATAAGTTCAGTACTAGTCTGTTTTAAGAATGTTTTACATGTGAGACAAACCAGCAGCAAGTACCTTGAAAATAACAGTAAAAGCACCCTTTTTAAAAGAGGCAATTGTTTGAAGAAATGTTAGCTTTAAGACATGAAATATAAACAACTCTATATTTTTCCTTAATATATGACAAATTAAAGAGATAATTTCTCACCTTAAGTGGAAACATTGTGAAATTTTAACATAAAATGGTAAACCTTAAACACAATGCTAATCAAGTATATCTATCACTATTTTAAATAAACCTGGGACCTTTCAGTTCGCAGGCCGACGCTCTATCCACTGAGCCAAACCGGTTTCGGCTATCTATCACTATTTTAAATAAAGAAATTCTCTATAATAGTAAATAAACATGTTTGCAAAGGAATACTATTAATATTATTATATTTCATCTCATCAGCTCTAATCATAGCCTTTCAAATTCATTAGTGTTTCTCTGGTGTTCTGTTTTTCCCATATTAGGGTTTGCGTAGGTCCTGAAAATGTTCTTTTATAGAAGATGTCTTTCAAGTTTTAATGCTAAAACAAACAAGCAAACAAACCTACTTCTTTGGCACAAAAATACTTAAAAAATAGTTAAAGGAAGTAATTTTTCTAAATATTGCTTTTACCTCATGGAAAATTTTTGTGAAGTTTCTGTGATTAAGAATAAGGATGTCCAGATGGCATGGCTCAGTGGTTGAGCATTGGCCTATGAACCAGGAGGTCACGGGTTCAACTCCTGGCCAGGGCATATGCCTGGGTTGTGGGCTCAATCCCTGGTAGGGGGCATGGAGGAGGCAGCTAATCAATGATTCTCTCTCATTAATGTTTCTATCTCTCTCCTCCTCATCCTTCCTCTCTGAAATCAATAAAAATATATTTTTTAAAAAGGACTAATAAAGGCTAGTAGACTATCCAATGAGAAGGAAAAAAGTCAATGATCTGGCTTTTAAAAAAGGTTAATAAAGGCTAGTAGACTATCCAATGATAAGGAAAAAAGTCAATGATCTGGCTTTTAAAAAAGGTTCTAATGCTTTTTCTACAGAGTTCCAGATATGTAAAAATCCTGGTAGCTTAGTTTTAGCACATAGAGTGAAATGCTCCCATAGAATCTCAGGGAACTGAGCTTTGGATTACAAACCTAATGGACACAGGGATCTAATAATTTAAAAGTTTTAAAAACATATTTCCAACTAACATTTTAAAACTAAAAGTTGTCTTGTGCTATTGAAAGACTTCAAGGTGTTGCTAGTATTTGATTAAATGCTATTGCAGATAACTCATTTTTACTTCAATTTATTTCAAACATTAATTTTAATAAATATTTTTACACTGTCATCTTTCTAACTAATATTTATAGCCAGGATTTATTTACATTTTACCACTGTTGAAAGGCTAATAAAATTTATCTTTAGAAAATTTGAGGTTGTATTTATTTAACTGCAGAGACTATATAAATCATTTTTGCATGGTACAATTGTGGTACAAATCATGTAAAGGTTTTATTACTTTAAAAAATGCTTACAAAATTATACTTAACATATATTTTTAAGATCAAATATGCAGAAATAAGACTGGAGAAATGTTTAGACATTTATCTGTACACAAACACAATATAGCTTAGAAAAAAATCTTAGTTTTTAACAACTAAGAGTGTAGTGATTAAGAGCTTTATCTCTGACCTCCGGGTAAGAATTCCAACCCTATTACTATAAGTGCCTTGGGAAAGTTATTACATTAAGTTTGTATTTATTTATTCATTTTTAACAACTTAAAATTGAGTTACTACTATGTGCAAAGCCCTATATAACACACTAGGTATCCTATATAATAAAAGGGTAATATGCAAATTGACCCTAACAACAGAACAACTGGGAATGACTGGTCACTATGACACACACTGACCACCTGGGGGCAGACGCTCAATGCAGGAGCTGCCCCTTGGTGGTCAGTGTGCTCCCACAGGGGGAGCTCTGCTCAGCCACAAGTGAGCCTGACAGCTGCCAGCACAGCAGTGGTGGCGGGAGCCTCACCTGCCCCCTCAGCAGCGCTAAGGATGTTTACTGTAGTTTAGGCCTGCTCCCCACTGGCAAGTGGACATCCCCCGAGGGCTCCCAGGCTGCCAGAGGGATGTCTGACTGCCAGCTGAGGCCCGATCTCCTGGGGTGCGGGCCTAAGCCAGCAGGTGGTCATCCCCCAAGGGGTCCCAGACTGTGAGAGGGCACAGGCCAGGCTGAGGGACCCGCCAAGTGCACAAATTTTTGTGCACCAGGCCTCTAGTACAACAATATAAACAATGTTTCTTACCTTTACATAATTTTCAGTGTAGAAAGGAGACATTTATATAAATAATTGCAAATATAATTATTTAATAAACTATATTAATATTAAAATAAATAATGAAAATGGGAGCAATCAATATCTGCCTGGAGAAATATGTGATGTTCATAAAGTTTGAACCTGACTCAAAAATTTAAGAATATATTAAAAGGTTTCTTTTGTTTTCAATAACAGTTTATGGTTTGAATCACAACACATAAATACATCTTTTATAATTGACATGTTTTCCTTCTTCAAAATATAAGTTGAATCAATACATATATATTTTTTTTCATATTTGAGTACTATGGTGGAGATAGTGGGAAAGAAGTAAAAGAGGAACATTGAGAATAGTATTTGATGGTAAAATGGAAAAGGCCTAGAGAGCAGTTTTTCAAGGTTTTGCTCAAAATGTACAACAGAAGAAACTAGAATGCTTTTAAAAAATTCATAATCTAGCCTTCAACCCAGAATCTCCAGAAATTTGACTATAAGTGGTATTTCAGCTAATTCTAAAGTGGGGGAAATATTTGCTTAACAGGAAACTGTATATATTTTCAATAATTAATATTAATATCAATAATATTAATTAATTATTATTTAGGTCCACAATTTACTATGTGTATACATTTTTAAATTTTAAATATTTTAGTAAGGTACAAATGAACTAAATACTGCGTTGTTCTATTAGCTTGATTCTTAGAAATAGAAAACTTGATATGCAATTAAGGATAGAATAGTCTTTTTCATCAGGACAACATAAGAAATAAATATATATTTTTATTTTAGAAATTTTAAGTACTTAACTTGAGTGGAAAAACCACTGTCCTTGATGTTTTAATGAGCCACAATCAGCCTCAATCTTTATTTGTACTATAAACTAAAACCTTGACCTCAGCTGACTCTAAGACAAAACCCTCCCTCAGGATAAGCTAAAGGGAAAGTAAATAATGAAATTTATATGTTTTCCTTTACCCTTATTCATTTAAAATACCTAGACTTGGTAAATGAGCTTAAGTAAAAACTCTTGAGATTCTCTATAAATAACAATCAAATTTGCATCTATTACAAAGGAATCCATATGCCATTATTCTTTTGTTGTCGGTTTATTTGAGCTCAGAGTATTTCCAGGGATTAACAACCAGCTGGGTCTAAACAGTGCTTGACTAAACTCTATGCCATCACTTCTGAACAGTCGGACATTAAACTCCAGGAAATGTATTGTGCCTCATTTGTTACTGCATAAGTACTCTCAAATCCTAGCATCTTCTAAGCGTTCTTTTTGTAGCAATTAAGCCTCAGTAAAGAAGTTATGAAAAAGGAGTAAGTTATGAAGTTTGAGTTAGGATTAATTTCCAGTTTCTAGTGTTCTCTTTTTTCCATATTTTTTACTATGATCTGGAAAAAACAATTTTGAAATATTCTAAGGAAAAATGTTATATTGTTATTCTTTTTTCCCATTGATGATTTTGATTTCTACCTTCTGGAATTCTTAAAGTTTTCTGAAGCATGTGAAGTTTCAATTATCCTCCACTGTATTTTTAAAAAAAATAATTTTCAGAAAAAATATAAATGGGCCACATCACAGTAAAAACATAATTTATCGATATGAATGGCACAAGCAAGCAATAATAAGTATTATTGCTATTAAATGAAATGGTCCTTGTGTATGATGTTGGGGGGTCTTGGTAGGATGAGGCAACTCCTTGATGCTAGTAGACACTCTCCACAGTCATAAAACAGGGTTTTCCCCACATCACCCCCTACCAGTAGGCACACACCTTCAATATTGTCCAGTAAAAGTGACACATAATTACTCGAAAGAGTACTATTACATTTTATCTTTGAATAAAATGTCAATAATTTTAGTAAATTATCCAATTCATGGATATTTCAATTGCAGTATATAGCTTTGGTTTTATATTACAGAAATAGTATATATGAATTATGTTTATATGTACATACTTATTTTTACAGGTGAAGGTGATACCACACCTACAATAGTCAACTTAGACCGTAAGTAATATTTTGTATATTTATGTCTCTTTGTGTCAGAAATGAGTCATTACTTTCTTCATAGGAAAACACTTTGTCACTATATTAACTTCCATTATAAAAATAAGTTAGTCTATTTTTACTTAATTTTTTTATGTGCATATGTATGGGGTTACAAAGGTAACTGCATACTAAATATCAAAATTCAATTCTGTAGCAGACATTATAAGAAGTTATATTTAACATAGAAAAAGCCATTATATTTCTTTTAATTCTGGCCAAAATGAATGTATGGACCTTTACTCTCTTTTTAAGTTAATAAAGATGCAAAAATCAGAAGGAATGAAACCTAAAGGTTGGGAAATTATGCAGCATCTCTATCTTGCTCTATTTTTAAAGCTCTTTGCATGCTCTACTCGGCCAAAGATGACACAGCCTGAGAGGTTCGGTCAATCCTCCATTTAAGAAAATCTGTTGAGAGCCACTAGTTTTTAATTTTTGCATATCTTTGGGGCTAAAGTAAATCATTCAAGTGTTTTGATTTAAGAGGCCACTTGCTTTGTTCCAGGCTGAAGAAGCTAGTAGAGGTCATTTTTAGACTAGTTGATAGGATAAGGCAAGTGACAAAGAGGAGGGTCAGGAAAAAGTTTAATTCAGAGAATTCTGTATTGTCATTTGGATATAATGATTTGAACATAGTAATTATGTCATTTGGATATAATATCAATACTTAGAATATTGGTAACCTAATTTAAAATTGCTCTGCATTCTCACTTTACTATTTCAGAAATAATAAACCCAATATAGTTTTGGTTTGTTTGTTTCATTCAGGCTATTGATTTGTGTTGGCATTTAGAAATTACCACCATAAATGACATAGTTAAATTTTATGTTGAGGTTGGTGGGGAAAATACAATCACTAAGAGACATGGAGAACTGTTCTTACTTAGTGCTGGGTGAGGAAAGCCACTGTCATGCTCATGGCCATGTTGTTGACCTTGAGTTGATTAGTTTTTCTGTGTTATTCATCTAAGATGAGGATTGCAAACATGTGGGGCCTGATTTGGCACTGTAGCCACAATACATGTTCACCCTTAAATGTTCTTCTGACAGAATTATAGTAGTTACATTTGCCTAGGTACCTTTGCTGAGAGGCAGTGTTAAAAAATGTTTTGTTAAAATGTTAAGGGGAGTGGGGTGAGGGTGACTGGATAAAGAAAGTGAAGGAAACAGCTAAAGAATATATGTGCATACCCCATGGACATGGACAATCATTTGTAAGGGCCAAGGAAGGTGGAGGCAGGGGAGAGTGGAGGTGGGCAAATGGGGGGAGGAGGACTCCTGTAATAATGTCAACATTAATTTTTAATTAAATATTTATGTATATAAATTATCTATATAAGTTATGTTTGGTTCTCTTTTTAGATCCTGTAATATCTTGCGCCAAAACAAAACAATTACGAGTTGTAAATGGAATTCCAACACGAACAAATGTAGGATGGATGGTTAGTTTGAAATACAGGTAATTATTAATGACACAAATTATATGTATTTGGCTTATTTGCAGAAGGTGTATTCCCAGCAGTATGGCCATATGTGGTCATGCAGATTGTGCCCTCCTCAAGGGCACTCCTATGAGGGGGGCTCAAGAGAGGATCGATGACATTCTGCTTGCCAAACAGCCCTATATTTTGCAATTTGTTCCTCTTCAGATAGTACCTTTTTATTTATTTATTTTTTATTAAATTGATTGGGGTGATATTGGTCAACATGAACATATAGATTTCAAGTGTGGGTTTCTATGTTATAAGATCTTTATATTGCACCACATGCCCACCACCCAAAGTCAAATCTTCTCCTGTCACCATATATTAGGAACCCCTTCTGCCCCCACCCTCTTTCTGCCCCGACCCACTACTGTTTGTGTTCACCAGTTTCAGTTTTATATCTCACATATGAGTGAAAATATATGGTCCCTAGGTTTTTCTGACTGACTTATTTCACTTAGTATAATGTTCTCAGCGCTATTTCATCCTTTCTTATAGCTGAGTAGTATTCCATCATTATATGTACAGTACCCTTTTAAATGTTCACAAAAGTCCCATATGTGTTGGCATTGTCCCTAATTACAAGTGGCACTTCAATTCTGATTAAGCAAAACATACAGAACGTACTTATACCTTGATATCACCAGACTAGTTATAATGCATATGCTATTAATTTCCCAGTCTAGGATATTGTGACTTTATTTTCTAACATGCCTATTCATAATTATATCAGAAATTTTATATTTCTTTTAAAATTTTGAATTTTCCTTGTCATACTAATGAGAATGGCACTAATTTTAAATTCTAGAATATTTTGCCATTGAGAAAAATATTAATAAACAATAGTGATGGCCCTAGCTGGTTTAGCTCAGTGGATAGAGTGTCGGCCTACAGACTGAAGGGTCCCAGGTTTGATTCTGGTCAAGGGAACATGCCCAGGCTGTGGGCTCAATCCCCAGTGGGGAGCATGCAGAGGCAGCCAATCAATGATTCTTTCTCATCATTGATGTTTCTATCTCTCCCTTTCCCTTCCTCTTTGAAATCAATAAAAATAAAGGGGTGAGAACAAAGCATAAATATTAAAAATAAAACAATAGTGAGGTTGAGTATTCCTGCTATTGTAATATTTAGTGTAGATAAAAAATTCTTGGCATGTCTATTTCCCAATGCTTTAAAGAATGAATGGTATGTTCTATGTGAAATAAACTATGCAAAATATACTGTTATACAAAAATTGAGGTTAGTAATTCTGTTGTAAGAGTTTTATATTGAAAATGAGAGTTAACTTAAAATATGATCTTAAAACTTTCTATATACTACATGCATTATATCATATGGTAATCAAAATGTTAAAATATTTTTGTCAATACCCATCTTTACTAGAACCTCATCACTTAACAATGAACCTGAATTCTAACCACATTTTCTATTGTTTTTAAGACACCTTACATTTCCCCTCTAAGCCTTTGTGCTGTTCTTCCTACTACAGTTGTAGCTTTCTTCCTCCATATTTTGTGCTTGGAAAATCCTTCTCATTCTTCAAATACCAACTCAAATATAACTTGTTTTGGGAAACCCTCTCTGTTCCTTGAACTATAGCCTCCTAGAGTAGAGAAAGAAAGTACATATTTTACTACAATGAAGTCACAGTGATATTAAAGTAGAAAAGAGACAACTTGAAACCGAAGTTCTTTTATGAATAAGCCAATTCTTAGCAAACAGAATCCTTTGATATATACCAGGTAGAAGATGGTCTAAAGTTCTCTTCTAGTATGTCTTTCTTTTGAGGAATAAATGACCAACTTTTATAAATATGTGTGATGATAATTGTAGGGTAGCTGTCCTAGGTGTATAGTACTGAAATAGAGTTGTGAAACTCACCAGAATTTTAAAGCTAATTGTACAAGATGAAGATTTAATGAAGGCTGCAAAATTTAGGAAGGGGGGGGGTGTTTCATTCTATTTATTATAAAAAAGTTTCAAAAATCCACATCTCTAAATTAATTAGTTATTCTTTGCAAATCTCATAACTTCATAAAAAAGAGGTATGTACATATGAATTTATTATTACCAATACAATATATAAGGATACTCCTTTGGAAGTTTCTGTGGAGAAGTAGATAAAATTGTTTTTCATTAGATCAGAGTACTATAAACTTTTAGGGGAAAAATATTTTTCTTTTAAATCCAAGTTCAACAGCTGTTTAGTTATTCTTCCAAAACACATACTGAGAAGAACAGAAATTAAAACTCGATATATACTCTTATCCTCCTGTGTGGTACAGGCCATAAATAACCATGGTCTTAATCTGGGAATCTTTTGCTATTATTCTCTCAAGCACTGAACATCTGTACACTTTGGAAATGTAAATTGTGAAAAGTTCTACTTTATTTTATTTCTCTGCCAAAAAACAATGGATTTACAGATTTTGGATATCACCAAATAAATGTACTAGTGTTTATTATTCTCCACATATATCTTAAAGTTTTCCAGATGATATGTCTTGCAAACTTGCTTTAATGATATGTTGCTGGTCTTAAGCTGAACAAACAAATGTATTCAAACTCAGTTGCCACCACATGTCTTTTAGAGTTTAAATAAAAAATTAAATTTGCATTTTTCATAATTAAACACTGAATAGGCCTATGTTGTTTTATGGTTCATATTTTTGTTCATTCTAATTATCCTATATGTGTAGCACATACTTTCTCTCACAAGGAATAAATCTTGGTATGTAGTGACAGGGTTCCACATACAAAAATAAAGTTGATTTCATAAAATTGTAATAACATTATAAAAAAATGCTAATGCTACAGTCACCAAACATCATCTTTCTGATAAAAGGATTACTCATTTTATTCTAGTTGGGTTAATTTCTACATTTTTCTCTCAAATGCATTTATTTTTAACAAACATAGCCATAGATTTCGCATTAATTGGCAGCCAACCTTCATGCACAGATGTTACTTGTTTCTCTTTCCTCTTTCTTGTAGAAATAAACATATCTGCGGAGGATCATTGATAAAGGAAAGTTGGATTCTTACCGCAAGGCAGTGTTTCCCTTCTCGGTAAAGTGTTTCTGAAACCAATTATTTGTTTTGAGCATTTAAAAATATGCATGGCTTCCACTTAGCTTTTAGACTTAGTATGTGTATTTATTTAACAGAGATTAACCAGAATGGGGTGAAGACACTATTTTTTTTTTAAGATTTAGCTAACAAAACTTTCTTTGACTTAATTACACTTACTTACTGGGTACTGCTACTATTCACCTTTTCCCACAATTGGCATTACTCTAATTTGAGGGGAAAGTTGCTAGAATTATGCAAATAATTTAATCACAACCTCTTGCACTCTATATTTCTAGATACAAATTCTTTTTCTGTTTTTGTTTCTTTTTATTATTATTATTATTATTCTGCTTTCTTATGTAGAGACAGCCTCCAGATCATCCTGGGAATAATTTCCAATGAAACTTAGTCTAGCAGTGGTTCTCAACCTTCTGGCCCTTTAAATACAGTTCCTCATGTTGTGACCCAACCATAAAATTATTTTCGTTGTTACTTCATAACTGTAATGTTGCTACTGTTATGAATCGTAATGTAAATATGTTTTGAGCATTTAAAAAATGCATGGCCTTCCACTTAGCTTTTAGACTTAGTATGTGTATTTATTTAACAGAGATTAACCAGAATGGGGTGAAGACACTATTTTTTTTTAAGATTTAGCTAACAAAACTTTCTTTGACTTAATTACACTTACTTACTGGGTACTGCTACTATTCACCTTTTCCCACAATTGGCATTACTCTAATTTGAGGGGAAAGTTGCTAGAATTATGCAAATAATTTAATCACAACCTCTTGCACTCTATATTTCTAGATACAAATTCTTTTTCTGTTTTTGTTTCTTTTTATTATTATTATTATTATTATTCTGCTTTCTTATGTAGAGACAGCCTCCAGATCATCCTGGGAATAATTTCCAATGAAACTTAGTCTAGCAGTGGTTCTCAACCTTCTGGCCCTTTAAATACAGTTCCTCATGTTGTGACCCAACCATAAAATTATTTTCGTTGTTACTTCATAACTGTAATGTTGCTACTGTTATGAATCGTAATGTAAATATTTGATATGCAGGATGGTCTTAGGCGACCCCTGTGAAAGGGTCGTTCGACTGCCAAAGGGGTCGCGACCCACAGGTTGAGAACCGCTGTAAGAAAAAGATGGGAGGCAGCATTTGTAAGCTAACTTCCTGATTCTCATCAAGGTCACTCCGATTCTGTTAGTATAAATCTTCAACCCCTGTTAAGAAACCAAATATTCACACAGCTGAAATAAAAAGAAACTTTGTAGTAAAATTGCCTGAAATTTTTTTCTCTCTAGCAAAACATAATCAAAATTTTTTGAAATAGCCATTTAGATTTTCATCAGTTTATAAGCTATCCCTTATATGTACTTTTAGCCATTAGAACTTAGCATAATAAATATGTTGCTCTTAATATACTTTGAATGAGATTTTAAATTTAGGTGATTTTTCTGTACTTATAAGCTAAAATAATATATATGAATAATCTTTACACAATTTAAAATTATATTTTACATTTTTTTGTTTTTTACTTAGAAACAAAGACTTGAAAGACTATGAAGTTTGGCTTGGGATTCATGATGTCCATGGAAGAGGAGATGAGAAACGCAAACAGGTTCTCAATGTTTCCCAGGTGGTATACGGGCCTGAAGGATCAGATCTGGTATTACTGAAGCTTGCTAGGTTAGTTCCTATAGGAGGTTTTGTATTTTTAACCTTGATTGAAATTGTTAAAGCTCTTTTCACTATGTGGCTATTCTGCTCTCACGTAGATTTGTTATAAAACATAAGTCATGTGTAATATATGAATGTATGTGTGTGCATAACTAATTTACCTACCATCTACTACAGATTTCTAAATTATATATTAAACATTCCCTTTTTCTGTTTTCTTTTTTAAGAAACATGACTTTTTATTCTCTCTAAACATCATATTAATATTAACACTACATTTTGTACTGAATCCAATCAAGAATACTACCATTATATTTTGTCTTTTCAGACCTGCTGTGTTGGATAATTTTGTTAGTACAATCGATTTACCCAATTATGGATGCATGATTCCTGAAAAAACCACTTGCAGTGTTTACGGCTGGGGCTACACTGGATGTAAGTTATTTTTCATAAGATAAGGCAATACCATATTTATTTTATTAAAAATTGTATTTGTTTCTTATTTTTCTCACCTGACCCTGTGCTCATTAACTGTAAATTATTTTGCACTACTCTAGTGATCAACTCTGATGGTCTATTACGAGTAGCACATCTCTTTATTATGGGGAATGAGAAATGCAGCCAATATCATCAAGGGAAGGTGACTCTGAATGAATCTGAAATATGTGCTGGAGCTGAAAATATTGCAGCGGGACCATGCGAGGTAAAAAGGGAGCTTTTTAAATAAGGCATAAGTGATTAGTAGCATAGTTTCTCATGTTTATTTTGTCTATATTTTTCAAACGAAAATCATTATACACCAACATGTTCCCAGAGAGAGGAATTGGGAAAGATAACCCTGTATTATCTTTGTACTTTTTTAAAACTAAACAGTGATACAATCCATGTTTCATTACCAGTAAACTATGATGGCATTTGTCTCTAAAAACAACACAAAAAACCCCAAAACACAAACATAATGCCCCAATAAACTAATAGAGCCAGAACTCTAAAAGAAGTTGTATAAATGAGAAGTATCCAATAGGAGTTTGATATAATAGCTTTAATTGTTCTAATGTTTTTCTAAATGTATCTAATCTTCCCAAATTCTCCCTAAATGGACTATATTAATAATTTTATTAAGAAATATCTATCTAATCCAACCAGTGTGGCTCAGTGGTTGAGAGTCCACCTATGAACCAGGAGGTCAGGGCACATGCCCGGGTTGCGGACTCGATCCCTAGTAGGGGTCTTGCAGGAGGCAGCTGATCAATGATTCTCATCATCGATGTTTCTGTCTTTCTCTCCCTGTCCCTCTCTAAAATCAATAAAAAATATATATTTTTTAAAAGAAATACCTGTCTAGTTTTTAACTTTTAAATGTGTTTTTCATTAAGTCAGTGTGTGTGTGTGTGTGTGTGTGTGTGTGTGTGTGTGTGTGTGTGTTAACAAATTCTATTTTAAAAACCAAAAGGTCAAAGTCTATGACTGTAAGAGCTTGGACATTATAATTTGTTAGGCAACTGTTCTTTCAACTTGGCAGTGTTCCTATCCCTGTTTTACATAGACAAGCTGTTAAACTGTTACTTTAGATGTATTTTTGAATGTAATAACACACTCCTTAAGCCTGGGAGCTGTGGAATTGTAGAACATTATGTGTAGCAAAGCATAGAATGAGTTCAGTATTAGTGAAATGTCTTTTGACTTGTAGGAAATGGCCTAAGTATGGAGCATTAATATTTATAGAAATGCATGTGTTAAATATATTGCTCCGAGATTTATTCCTGAAAAGAAAGCATTTACTTAGTTAAGAATATTTTAGAACTGCTTAAGATGATATGGCTAGAAACAGATTATATATTTATAACCACTTTTAAATTCCCTGTTTTTCCAGTAAGTCAGTATTACTGTGTTCATTATAACTAATGAAAATAACAAGGAGAAAGGAATCCTCCTCCCTCCCTACCCCTTTTCCTTCCTTCCTCCCTCCCTCCCTCTCTCCCTGCCTTCCTTTCTTCCTTCCCTCCTTCCTTCCCCGCTAAGAGCCCTGTGAGCATGAAGTTTGAGCTAGACCCAATCTTTGCTATCATTTAAGAGGCTATGCACTTACCCCAGCCCTACTGCCATTACTAAAAATGCTTTGGCAACTGCTCTTCAGGAATAGCCTGTAATCAGGTTTATCATCTATACATTCTTAGATTCCTAACTTTAGCATTGGAGTTTTCATCACATTATCACATACTTGTTATTTTTATTATATGGACAAGATTTGACTTCAAGTTGATTCTACCACTTCTCAAGAATGGATTTATCCTCTAGAATATTTAAAAAAAACAACAACCGGGCAATAAATCACTGAAACTACTTAAAAATAAATCTCCCAAATGTTTGTAGCATCACATTTAGTAAAAGGTACCCAATGCAAATTGCTTTGAAGATAAAGCAGTTTACTGGTGATTTTATTTTAAAATCAAATTTATTAACTCATGTGGCATGATTTATATGAAGTCTCGTAGAATGAACTATTTTTTCACTGTTTTATATTCTACTTCACCCTTACTTTGATTTTTCCCATCATAGAATGTTGATAGCTCTCTTCTTTCCACCTGTATCACAGAACTAAATTTCGCAGTAGTTTATTTCTATCTCATCACTTCACTGTTGTGGGAGAATTAAGATAGTGTCAAACACTCTTCTTCATACCAGGTTGCTGAAAGTCATTTATCACAATTGTAGGTGGCTACATAGTTCATGCAAGTGATGGAGCACATTTGTAATGATTATATACAGCAATAGTGTAAATATAGGGTGGGGGGCAAAAGTAGGTTTACAGTTATGAGTATGTGAAATACAGTGTTTATTCTTATATTCTTATATATTCACTATTGTATTATTTTCCATACAAACAGCTGTAAGCCTACTTTTGCTCCACCCCATATATGTGAATATAAAAATATACGCAAAAAAACAATCTATTCATCTATCTATCACATATCTATATCTGATGATATGACAGGGTTACCATACAAAAAATGCCATAAAATCACAGGCTGCCTTCCTCAAGGAGGGGTATAAAATGTAAGCATAACTATGTATAACTACTAATGCCAATAGTAAGTGCAAAGACATTCCTTCTTTAAGCCTGGAAAAGCAATATCTAAATAGTAAATAGAATTATTTTTATCAATTATATGTTTTTTGTTTCACTTGTTAAGATCATTTTAGAGACAGGATTGGAGGAAGGAAAAAAAGCTTTACAAATAAGAGGAAATTTAATGCAGCTTAATCATTAAACATGTATAATTACAGGTGGTTTTTTGGAACTTGCATTTATCTACATTTTCCAAATTTTCTGTATTGAACATATTTTAAACATCAGAAGACAGTAAAAATAAATATAAAAATGTACCTTCTTAAATAACTATAAGTGGCTATGTATTAGTATGCATTCAAAAGAGGCAAAATCCACTTTCAAAGATGGAAAATATGTCATTCTCAAATGAATACTACACATTATAGAACACTTTGAACTTTTGTACTTATCTCAGTCTTAGTTAATTCAATAGAAAGATAATTAACGGTTTAGTACATAAATTTTATATATATACATATATATTTTTTTTAAAAAAATATATTTGTATTGGTTTTTCACAGAGAGGAAAGGAAAGGAATAGAGAGATAGAAACATCAATGAGAGAGAAACATCGACCAGCTGCCTCCTGCACACCCCCTACTGGGGATGTGCCCGCAACCAAGGTACATGCCCTTGACTGGAATCGAACCTGGGACCTTTCAGTCCACAGGCTGACCACTGAGCCAAACTAGTTAGGGATAGTACATAAATTTTATTTAAATTAAAGTTATTCTCTTTTTTGTATATATGTACCTTTGAGATACAAATCTATATAGAAAATGTTAATGAATCATTCAATTTTATTTCTAAAATAATTATTTGTTGTTGTTATGTCACATGTCTTCTTCCTAGGGGGATTATGGTGGCCCGCTTGTTTGTGAACAACATAAAATGAGAATGGTTCTTGGAGTCATTGTTCCTGGTCGTGGATGTGCCATTGCAAATCGTCCTGGCATTTTTGTCCGAGTAGCATATTATGCAAAATGGATACATAAAGTTATATTAACGTATAAGGTACCGCAGTCATAGCTGATGTAACTGTGCCTGAAATTTCCATCAATACAACTCTCTTTTACATGAGGATTCAGAGAACATGGAATTAAAATGTCACTTAAAACAATCCTAAGACACTTGAGTGTCATGTTTGTTAGATACTCATTAATATTTATGGGTGTTTCCTGTTGTTTTATTTGTGAATGTTATTTTGTAAATGTTGAAGTGAATTAAGGTACATGCGAGTGCAGTAACATATCTCCTGAAGATACTTGAATGGATTAAAAAATGCAAAGGTATAATTGCTGGATGATAAAAGACTTAATGGGAAAATCAATTAATCTCTCTACACTGCTTTCCAAGGTTAGTTTCTTAAGAATGAATGCACCATAAGTTAAACATTATTTTAACCTCACAAAAATAATTTATACCTTGTTTTTTAAAATTGTAACTCAATATTAAATTATATTACCTTTCATATGCCATACATTATATTTCATTTGTTTCTCCTTACTGTGTATCCTGTAATATTAGTATACATACTTTTTATAAGAACTTGTACCCATATACACAAGCCTGGGTACACAGGTGCATGCACTAGAGTTCAAATTGTGGTGTATCTAATGTAACCCTTAAATATTCTGAAAGAGTACTTATAGTTTTTCCTTAAGAAAAAGACAAACAAATGTAAAGACCAGTAGAAATATTAAGGAAAGGTGCAAAATAGAAATGACAAGCTCATCCTGATATATAATCTGCAGATGACCTCTAGGGTTGGCATTGAAGGTGTGTTCATGACCCACAATGTTAAATAACACCTAATCTAGGTGGCTACATATATTTATCATCCTAGTTATTTTATGTAGTTTCTAATTCTTAAAGGGAAGAGGGTGATATGCGTATTAGTGTCATTTCTTCCAAATTTAGGGCCACTTTTTTATGTAAGATATTTTTAGATTTATTTTCCTATAGTATGTTTTAAAATCTTAGATGAATATGCAATTGAAGTTTAAAAGTATTTTGGTATTTAAAATGTATTTCAGTAAGGTAACTGTAAGACTTGCTGTGATTGGCTTCTAACTCATCCTCTTTAATTTTTAAAAAGTATTTCAGGGGAAAATTTTCATGTTTTCAAAGATTTGCAAATAGCCCCTTTTCAAATTATTCATTAAAGTATATATTGAAGAAAAAAATCGAAATACTTTTTTTCTACCTGGAGGTCTTTTAGCCTAAAAAAACTTTACTCAAGTAAAGTAAAAATGTAAAATAAAAGGAAAGAAAATGACTTCTCCAAACTCTCTGTATTCAATTTTTTAAAAGATTGAATCTGTTAAATGAGTTATTATATCAAGATATCTTTATTTGATCTTAACTTCATTTTATACAGATCTTTCCTAATACCATGGGAAATAGTCATTCAAATTTTGTATTCTGTATGATAATAAGTAAATTATCATACTACTGTATTTGTTGTGAGTAGCTGAATATCACATATTATCAAGAAGTGAAATAAAGAGTAATAGGATAGGTTCGAATTTTTACAAAATCTTCCTAACAGAAGATCTTTAAAAATAATGATTTGAATGATTCAAATCCAGCATTCCCACTTCTCCAACTAGCTTCTCTTGAATGATTTTTATTAAGGCCAAGGATTTTATTGAAGGGTAAAAACAGCATCACCAATAAGCCATCAGACATGTTGTACAAAACAGTTCTCCCTTTGGGAAGTTTTCTTTGTAATAGAGGGAAAAGGGAGGAATTGACAATAAAAGCAAGATGAACAAAATCTGTGTTATTTTAGGTGGCAGGACAGGGTATAATCATATAGTTTTATCTGGTGAAGGATACTATTACCTGGGCATTCTTTTCTTAATAAACTACAAATCATGAAAAATCCAATTTATCCCAAAATCCATTTTGAGTCATGGATCAAACTATCTTTCAAATTAGAAGTTTTCATTGCTATTTTTGTTTTGGCTGTTTGAATAATGGTCATATGTTGTTATAATTATGGACATTTTCTGATGTCTACCAGGAATAGTAATGTAAAATTAAAATATGTGTCATAACGCCTCTGCTGTGCAGAAGGACTGATAATCCTTTTGTATACTTCTTTAATTTTATTGTAAAATATGTATGACTTTTACCTATGTGCTGTGGGCAGGTCCTCAGTAAAATGGTTTCTATTGAACCAATCTCTAGTATCAACAGGCTCTTGCTTACTATCTAAGTGTTTCAAACTGTGGGAAGTATGAGACACTGGAAGCAAGAAAAATAACAATAATGGTGTGTGATAGCAAAATTATATTTCACTTATTCCTGTGAATATTTCTTGTTGGTACCAATGGTACTGTACAAAGTGAATGTTATAGCCACAACATTCTCTTGAAGAAAAAAAAACACTGTCAAGAAGTTAAAAATTGCTGTCAGGCATTTTCTTGTTGTTTCAAAACATATGTTTTTAAAGAAATACTGGTTTTGCAATGTAGGGATCATGGTGTAAATAATTTTAATAAACTCTACTACTAAAAAACATTAAAGTGAGGATTTACTAAGGTTCAAAAATTGACTACTTTCAAATAATTATATCTCATGTTTATAGACAAACATTTGAAAAACAAAAATAATTTGAATAAGAAGACATAGTGTGAACAAATTACTTTTCAAAATAAAGTCCAAAAATAGATAATCTTTTAAAGTTCCATTAAGTTCTGAACTAAGAATTTACTAATACAAAAAAAGAAAACATTAAAACTTTCTGGACCTTATAAATCTTGACAGTGTAATTTTAAGTAGATAACTTCCATTTGCACAAAAAGTTTCTGTCTTTAGGAAACTGAAAATGGAATACTGTGGATGTTATGACTGTGTTGTGTGTGTAAATAGGAAACTGATAAGCTGCCTATTCAGTGGTATAGCAGGATGCTTACCCAAAAAGGGAACACTGTGGTTATGACTTGTATATGAAATGTCTGTAGTTAATAAAGTTGTTATTTTTATAACCATGATTATATTAATATTATTCTTAATGATAATAAAATATTTTACCAAAATGCTTCAATTCTCTTATTATAATGATATATATGAACATATTCGAATCTGCTCTAGTGCTTAATGCAATAAATGACAATCATTTTATTGACAGAAATAACATGCAAATAAAAGGGCACACCTGTAATAATTTCAATAATAAAGATACATTTTTAAAAAAAGAAATGTCATCTAACCTGTTTATAGAACTAAGACAAAAGTTATTATTTTATTTCAACATATATCCATGGCAATAACAGCAGTCTTTAGTAAACCATTAATTTCTGTGCACTTCAATTTCTTCCACTGTGCAATAGTCATCCTTCATATTTCCTAGAATGGCGCTATGATACAATTTGCTAATATATATAAAATATTGTCATGAATGATCACCTACATGTCTTTACTATATCACTTTCTATTACATGGATAATTATAGATGATTCAGTTAATTAATTTGGAGTTCATTTTCAAAATATGTATTAAAGTCAGAATAAATATGAACCAAATGGGTTAATTTGATTCAAATCACAAGCAAGATTGAAAGGACTAATTATCAATTGATCAAACCAAAAAGAGCCGTAACACCATTGATTATTTCAAGTTACGCTATTCTGCCTCTTCCCAAAAGGGTTGCTCTATTTTTTCTGGTATAGATACCTATCTCACGATTAATGCATCTGATTCTAGAGGCCACGATAAAATATCTGATCTTTATGATTTTAATGCAAGCAGAATATATGCACTTATTAATTTCTGGTGTTAGTTTCTTTAAGAGATAGCATTGAACAGATTCTCAAGCAGTGTAAATATCCAGAATCTGATCAAATAAAACTTGGACAATATTTCTGTTAGCTTTTTAATATAAGTTATTTATTCACTCTTACAAACTGTAATGCTTTAATTAGTCACCATTTGTTAGTGTCCCAAACAGAATCACCTTGGTTTGCATTTTCTCAGTGTTTTAGTCCAGAATTTTTATCATTATTCTATCCATTATTTTCCTACACAGACCCATCCTTAATCAATACAGTCAATAGAATTTTACCAAATTACAACCCTTTCATGTAAAATTCAGAATAAAAGTCTTATTCTAGACAGTCTATTTTTCTTTTGCACCTTACATTTACAAATATCTTCATTGCATGTATTGTTTAGGAAAGCTGAAATTTAAAAGTAACTTCAAGATAAAAATAATATTGTAGTAAATTGAACAAACTTTACAGGCAAGAACATCTTGTCTAAAACACATCTAAGCAAAACAGAAAATACTGAGCAAATGAAAAACACTTAGACTTTTATATATTTAAAAAGAAGTGTTAGATGATACATTATAAGTATATGTATGCTATAAAAAGGTAAACAACAACATCAAACAAAACAAAAACTATCAATCTAACTTTAACTCCAAACTAGCTTTGGACTCTCATCTCTCCCAAATACTCCTGAACACCCATCACTTTATTTCATCATTGGGAACATTACTTCGCATTTAGGTGTCATGGCTGCATTCAACAGTCCCTGTGAACATTAGGCTTTTCTTTAATTCTTCAAAACCTTCAACTGTCATGTAACTTCTTCTGTGAATCCATCCTCAGTATCCTCATGTAGAAATCACCCCTTCCCCAGATTACAGCTGGGTTTGCTAAAGCTTCTTGGTCACTTGTTATAATAGTTTGCCTATAACTACATGAGGTTCTTTTTTTTTTTTTTTTTACTTTGTATTTAATGTGTAATCTACCTCCACCCCATTTAAACTCTTTGGAGACAACAGCAATGTCTTGCTATTAATATTTATATATTCTTTATTTTGAAGAGTGCTTCACACATAATGATAACCTATATATTTTATGATTATTCAATAATCTATCATCTTTTTGAAGGCTTATCAGTATAACCCAGAGATTTATAATACTGGTAGAAATAACACAACTCTCATTGAGGACTTAGAATTTTAGGATTTTTTATTTAATTGTATCATTTAGATTTGAAATAATAAATGGGACTATTTTTAAGTGGTTTATTATATTTCAAATACTAGAAGATACAGCTAGAAAAGAAAGCATTAACTCTAAAGATATAATACATATATATTTGTAAATGTGGTTATCTACACTAATAAAAGACAAAGATGCTAATTGACAATACCTTCATTAACCCAAGCCACGCCCACCAGCCAATAAGAGTGACTATATGCAAATTAACCCAACCAAGATGGCGGCCGGCAGCCACAGAGCTGGAGCAAGCAGGAGGCTTGGTTGCGCTGGGGATGGAGGAGGCCAAGCTTCCTGCCTGCTCTGGCTGGCTGTGGCCTCCGCAAAAGGCAAAAAAGTTTCAATTATAGAAGCTAAATAAATCCCAGATGCCTGCTTCCAGCCCG